CTATATTCTTTGTATTCTTTGTTCTGTTATATTTTCCGATAATTTAGTTCCTTGGAATATTTCTGATCGATTGTTGAATACTTTTATTATTGACAGTATTGTTTTGTTAACCAAACGATTGTCATCGTTAATGTCATCATCATCATCATCATCGTCGCACTGTCATCACCATCATCAACATCATCGTCATCCTGGCACAGTCATCATCACCAACATCATCAGCAATGTTATCATCCTTGCCCTATCATCTTTTTCTGCCCACAATACTAAAAATGGAGCATTTGAATACATTTACATTTGATCAATATTAATTGATAAACATTGTAAAAAATAAAACAATGGTGAAATGAATCGCTCCCAATATAAAAGAACAAGATGAATAGAGTGGGTGGAGTAATTAGTGATTGAATTGTTGAGACTTGAATGCATCTTCTCTCTTCCTCTCTCTCTCTTCCTCTCTCTCCTCTTTCTATCATCAGCAGCATCATCTACCTGTTCTTCTTTGTTCGTGATGCAGTTTAAATGACATGCAATGATAACCTACATTTTTTCTGCTGTGTCTCAAACTGCTTGTGGTCATGTGTATGTGTTTATGCCTATGTCTGTGTGTGTGTGGTGTGTGTGTTGAGTGTGTGTGTGGTGTGTGTGTGTAGTGTGTGGTGTGTGTGTGTTGAGTGTGTCGATTCTTTGAAAATTCATTTGCTCGAAAGTTCATGTTTATGTTTAGGATAGTATTTACGAAGGCACAAACATGACAAACATATCTGCAATAATAAATATATATATATATATATATATATATATATATATATATACAAACATATATATGACTCACATGTCGATTGCTTGAATTTATAAACCAAACCAAAAAATATGTTTGTGTACAGATTATTCATACGCACCACACCATCTAACATTGTTGTATGTTCGTGTGTGCATGTCTGTGTTTGTCCATGTATCGTTCAGTGTGGCTGTGTATCGCTCAGTGTGGCTGTGTGATCAAATGTTCAAGTGGTTGTATGTTAGTTTATGTGAATGTGTATGTGAATGTATTAATGTTTGTGTGAGAGTTAGTGTACGTGGTTGGTTACTTTAATATGTCTATAGGGGATTGAATTTGTTGATGTTTATTATAACATGTGATGTTTAGGAAATGTTGTTTGTGGCGATTGTTCTTTGTATAATAGTAAGAGATGATATTAGCGTTGATGCGTCCGTGAGTTTGCGTGAGTCTCTCTGAAAATATATATCAGCATGTATGTGACAATTTGCTCGTGGAGATGGTCCTATGTGTTTGCCTGTCAGTTTATTTCTATAGTTAATACCAGTAGACAGGTATTTCTATCATTGTAATTGTAATTGTTAAGCGATGATATGACATTTGTTAGACTAGATATTTATGCAGAATTTCATGACTGTGTGTTATTGAATGTTATTATTAAAGTATGCACGTATGTGAGGATGTGCGTACGTGCATGTATTATACGTGTTTTTATGAGAAGTGGAATGTTTCTGCTGCGTCTGATGCGTCGGTGCGGAGTCCTGCTTTTCTTATCAGATTCCTTGCTCTATAACTTCTCTTCTGACCAATTCTGAAAAATATATTTTTATGATTGTTCACGTCATGTTTAATCTTTTGCTGGTTCATATTGTTGTCGTTACATGAAAAACATCGTTGGCAAGTGTATTCAGTTGTGTTCGGGTTGTATTTTAATTTATTTTACATTTTTACACGCATGTTAAATAATACCAGTATGATGAAAAAATGTCAATTCAGTTTTTGTTAAGCTTCTGAAAGGTCAACGTGTTGTGAAACGAGAATTCTCTGATCATCAGCCGCTCATAAACTTCAGCAAGTTTAAACTTTTTAACTTGAGAAAATTTAAACTTTGCGTTTCTGATTGGCAATGTAATTTGAACATAAGAAAACTAAATACACAGATGAAAATCAATGAATTTTTTTTATGAAATCAATAACTAAATAAAAGTGTGTGATAATCTCCAAACAATACTTCAGTTGCATCAACATTTAAAGTCGTTTAAATTAAATAGGGCAGTAACAAACATAATTCACACGCAAAAATGTTTCTGCAATTGCATGCAAATATAAATCGTTCTTACATTTTTTTTAGTTATTTTTGTTGTAAAACATTTGAAAATACAAAAACTAACGACAAACAATGCATGGCCATCCGAACAAAGCGTATAAACAATACGTAGACGAAAATAAATATTATGGCATATTGAGGTTGTATTAAACAATCACTATATATATATATATATATAAATTCTTTCACGAAGACATAATGCACACACATAAAAAATCACACTGTCACGTACAAACACATACGCGCACGCACACACACACACAAACACGCACACGCACAAACCCATCTACACACACACACAGACACACACAGACACACACACAAGCTCACATATTTACACGACCCAATGTCGTTATTTGCCTGACGTGACGAACATCAAAGAACTACTTTGGATGCTTTTAAATTTGTCTGTCTCCGTCTCATTATAACTCGCAAGCACTTATTATTATAATAGAAACAACAATATCCACAATGACAACAATATCCGTAATAACAACAATATCTACAATAAAAACAATATCCACAATAAAAACAATATCCACAATAACAACAATATCCACAATAACAACAGTATCCACAATAACAACAATATCCACAATAACAACAATATCCACATTAACAACAATATCCACAATAACAACAATATCCACAATAACAACAGTATCCACAATAACAACAATATCCACAATAACAACAATATCCACATTAACAACAATATCCACAATAACAACAATATCCACAATAACAACAATATCCACAATAACAACAATATCCACATTAACAACAATATCCACAATAACAACAAAATCCACAATGACAACAATATCCACAATGACAACAATAACCACAATAACAACCAACAATATCCACAATAACAACAATATACATATTAATAATGTTAGTAAAATTACTTCTAATACTATAAATTAGAATAAAATTTATAAAAAATTGATATGTTAAATAAATAATAAAAGGAAAGGATGTATTAAAAATAACTATTGTGATGTTAACAATGACAAATATTAATAACATTGTGCAAAAATGGTGACAAAAGTTAATAACAATAGTAATAATAATGGAAATATATTTTATTTTCCTGAAACATACATCAAATAAGGTGAAAAAGATAGAATGAAGAGAGTCTAAAGAGAGTCTAAATAATTATAAAATAAAGTGTTAAAACGATAGTAATTGAAATGTACTATCCTCCCATGCTCAGTATCATTGATAAATACATTGGTGTAATAAAACATATTTAAAATGTATCATGGTGTGCTGTTTCTATCACGGTAGAATTTGTTTGACGAGCTGATTTTATAAGTTTTTTATCAAAAGATAGAGTCCACAAAATGTTAAAGAGTGATAAGTTAAAATTTTTATAAAAACCGATTGGCGATGTTTCAAAAAAAAATAAGAATAATAGAACACTTCATAAAATCATTATTTAAATATGACTGCAAATTTCCATATTTTGGCGTTTGAATTGTCTGGATGATGACATGTTTGTTATGATGATGACATGTTTGTTATGATGATAACATGTTTGTTTTGCCGCATGCCGTCAATTCTACAGATTCTATTTGGTTGCCGTGCGGAATGGCAATGTCTGGATGTAGCAGCGTGTTGAACAGATGAGACATTGGTCGAACGTTTGCTACCACCAAATCAGCAAATATGCAAGACTCGGCTGGAGCGTGAAGCTTTTGTTCGTTAATGATCAGGGCTAGAAGCTTATTGTGTCTATCTGTGTTTCTCGTCAAGGCCGATGTTAAACTGCAGTTTGACATAACATGTTGATTCGTCTGACGAATTGTGCATAACGGACACAATATTGAGGCAGTTTTGTCCCACTTACAATTTGAATTTGTTGAACAAAATATATTCTTGTAAATTTGTGTAGTTCCCATGCTATGTTATCCGTTATCTTTGACCAAAGCCTAACTTGTGCTGATGTAATGACTTTAACGAGTGTTTTCAGCACCACTCCCGCAGACTGCAATTTAACAATGTGGTTGTAACAGGATTTCAAACACGCTTCATCAAGGAAAATGAGAGACTGCTTTAACGAAATTGTGTCAGCCAGCAAATTGTCAGGTTTGTTGAAAGACGAAGTTGTTTCGCAAAATAAACATTTGAATTTCGCGTTGGTGCTATTTCTAAAATAACTTCTCATTTTCAATCTTGTTTTTTCAGCAACATTTTTCAGTAGTGTAATGTTATTGCCACCAAACTTTGCTGGTAGCGAGAGGATCTGGGACACACAGCCGCTAATCAGCTTGGCCAACCACTCTCTGACCTTCTCCACTATCAAATTGTTTAAGTTGGACGAAATTCATGTAATAAAAAAATTTTAGCAACCGAGTTTATATTGTAGTTGAGTGGGGATGAATCTTTCTAAAATCTGAAGTTTTTGCTGCGGCGTGATGCCAAGAGACGAAGCGGTTTCCATCAAACTGGCCAGTTTTTAAACGATCGCCTTTTTGGTTTTTTGTCGTTTATTTCAAAACCGTATGATTTGCCCAGGTAAACAAAACTACCTTCAATTTTTACATCAAAAATCACATCATCATCGATCGTCAGTCTTGGAGCAAACCGTTCGCATGCTCCATCTTTCTTCCTCGTGCCAAATGCGTTACATTTGTCTAGAGAGACATCCGCATGTTCGACCACTTGCACCATGCATCATTCAGATCCATTAACTTCTCGGCACTTTCTGTACTGTGAGCTATTAATGTCAATAATAATAAAAACAATAGATATTAATAAAAATAATACTAATAAATAACAATAATAATGATAACAACAATAATAATTATAATAACGACAATGATAATTTTATTTTATTATAAAAATTATTACCAATAAATAACAAACATTGTTACGCTGTTGCAGTGGCACGCGCTGGAGCGATCGGAGCAGGCGAAGTACTACGAGATGGCGAAGAAGGAGAAGGAACTGCATATGCAACTACACCCCGGCTGGTCTGCCAGGGACAACTACGCTACACACACGAAGAAGAAGAAATTAAAACGGGAGAACCAGGACGGCATTCTCTCCGATCCAGGATCTGACAACGGTGAGTTGTTGTTATTGCTGCGGCTGTTGCTGTGGTTGTTGTTGTTGTTGTTCTGGTCGAGTTTTATCGTGTTCTATTTAGTTCATCGATGATCAGCTTCGCCATCTTTGCTGCTTCCAGAAGTCACTCAGGAAGTTTGCTCAACATCTTCTTCATGTTGTTTCTGAGGCTCATGCTCATCAATATCATAAAGAGGAAACTTTTTTACTCACTCCATAAAATGAGTTCTCATTTAGTTTATGACCTGTTGGATTTTGAAAATGTTGAAATGTTGACGGCGGGCCCAATATTTGTGGAAATGTGACATTGGACTGATGAACTTCACGTACCATTTTAGTTCTCTCCACATGTTGTCATTCTGTTATAAATCTGTTTATAAATTGAGCCAACCGAAGTACCGCCTGAACATTTAAACTGCTGAAATGTTCAATTGTTATCTCTTATTTTTTCAAGTTGTATACATTCAAACAAATTTCTTTCAATTTAAATGGAAATTTGATATATACTCAGGTTCTCAGACGCATAAAAAACTTCGGTTGAATTACACGACAAATGAAGCTTGTTCCCCAAATCAGTAAATTATTTCCACTTTTTCTATTAAGAATAAATTAATAATAAATAAACTTTTTGATGGAAGTTTAAACATTTTAATTGAAACAATTTTTTTGCATCTAAAGTGAATCATTGACAAGACCACAAAATGTATTGAACATCACAAACAACCACAAAAATCCGATGGTTATATGAAGTGATAGGTAAGTTGATTGGTTGGCTGGTTGAATGGTTGAGTGGCTGGCTGGTTGATTGGTAGGTTAATTTGTTGTTTGAACGGTTGATTGGTTGAATCATTGTTTAATCAATTGCGGCTTGATTGACCGACTGATCGCATTATTGATTAAGTCTAGATGACCAGTTTTAGGTTCTTTTAAAAGTTGATTGGCTGGTTGGTTAGTTGGTTAAATGGTTGAGTGGTCGATTGAACGATTGATTAGTTAAATGTTTTATTAGCTGGTTAGGTGGTTGGTTAGTTAGTTGGCTGTTTAGTTGAATGGTCGATCGTGCCATTGGTGGTTGCTTGTAATGTTTTGTTAGATGGTATTGAACGATGGTTAGCTAAAATTTAAGGTATTTGATGGTGGTTTATGTTATTTTCAATTTTTCTAACTCAGTAAATATATGTATATATGATATAGTTTATTAATTTTGTTGTAATTGTTCCAGCTTATTGATATTTGAAAAATAGAAAATATCAACCAAGTTTATTTATAAATACCTAGAAACCATAGAAGCAAAAATCTTTGATAGATGTAACTTTAAATAAGGAAGTCATTTCCTGTGATTTGTCATAAGCTAAATGCCATGCATAATTCCATCGTTAGCATTGAGAGCATTGATTTACGATTGCTATATCACAAATTTATTATTAAAAAGAAGTAATTGTCGCTAGTTGGAAACGGTTTATTGTTCATTTATCTTCAACGATCTTTTGACTTGTTCGATTTGTTTGCTCACTTCAATGATCATATAAGTAATATTTATATGAAAAATGAGTAAAAATATGGGTGACATAAAGAAAAAGCAAATAATAGTTACATTGAGGAAAGCAGCAAAATGCTTCAGCAAATGAAGACCACATGGGCTGACCACTGACCAATGACTTAATGACTCAAAACTCCGTTACTGGGAAAGTGAATTAAATTTGACTGTGTGATTGATCGATTTCAATATGAAAAATGCGGAATCAAAGTTCAGTTTTCGTGCATGTCTGTCAATTTTTGTTTGAAGTTAAAATTAATAACTATATTTTTATTGGTTTATTGAAAATTTTGAATTTGTTAAAATTTTATTGAGGCTGAACTTTACGATGTTATTATGGTTTATATATCACGTAATGAAACCTGACTGACAACCTAGCAGTAGGTTTTTTAATAATGATAAAATCAAAATCAGCTATACCATAAAGTTCGTGATTTTTAAGCATTTTTGATTATCAAAGTAATTTAGGTTTAAGTTAATAAAAGTATAAAAACCATTTTCTATTCCTCCACCTATCACACAGATGCCAACCAACCAGCAAGAGATGAGACGGGACGAATTGTGGATGAGAAGGTAACCAGAGATGCAACGATGTTCGTGAAATTAAAATGATGATGAGACCAAAAAACATTCACCACACCACATCTTTAACATGTGTCTGTCATACTTCTTTGTTCTACACCTTCAAGTTTATTTCGTTATTGAAATATACGTTATATGTATATATATATATATGTACGTTATATATATATATATATATATATCTGTAAGATTGTCAATTATGAAAGCACACGCTCGCAATATTGTAAAAACATAAAAGTTAAAAAATTAAAATGTATTTGTTTTGTATATATAATACAATATACATACATATATATATATATATATATATATATATAAATTATAATTAAATTAATAAAATTCTTTTAGTGTTATAATGTTATAATATATTTCTAGTACAATATAATGCTGATGATAATTTTTGGCAAAACTCTGAATAGTGTTAATAAGAGATATTGAGCTGAGGAAAATTGTAAGTTTTCCATTTTTTTATCGAGTAATATCAAAATCAAAAAATGGTGATTTGTGGAACCAAACAAAGAGAAGAAGTGAATGTTGGACATGGAGCTTATACAAACAATGTTTAACATGTTATCGTCCGCCAGCTGATTCCGGGAAGTTTTCATTCATTGAGTTGCAACAAATGATTTCCAGTTATAGGTGAAATTAATTGAAAAATTATAGAGGTGAAACAAAATCATGAAATAATTTAAAGTAAGCCAGATTATATATATATATATATATATATATATATATATATATATGTTTTTACAATATTCTATAAATTCTACCGAATGTTTGGCGTTAATATGTTTGTAGTTCGTTTTTTCGATTTTTCTCACTAAAGTTTTTTGGTGAACGTTTAGTTTATTAAAATTCAA